TTACATATTTATTTATTTATTTATATATTTATTTATTCGCTTATCTATTTATTCTATTATATTTATTCTATAAATATTCGAAATTCGATACTTAAAATAGAATTCTATTTAACTAGAGATAAGGCCTGTATAAATTTTCTCCTTTATGTTACTGACCCATATTACAAAACTAAAATCAAGTGACTAAATGAGTAATAAAAAAGTGACCCACTTACCTAGCTTATCTGGTTAATTATGCAAAATTATCAAAACTTGCAATAAATATACGTATTAAAATACATTTTTATCAAAAACTTGCGATTAAAATACAGTAAGAAGTAATAATAGAAATATTACATAAAAAAATTATTCAGTTAAAATATAATAGTGATCACGTACGTATGCTTAAACGCCCAAACTAAGTTTTTAGAAAATTTAATTATATAAAATGAATAAAGAGTCTATAAAGAATTTTATCATTTAATAACTACCAGTTTTTTTTCTTCTGAATAGGGATAGAATTGCTATCTATGGTGCAAACTATTTTAGTAGTTCATTTTTTTAAATGACAATGTCTGAATAAGAAATGTACATACTAATGTCGTATAGTTGTTTTTTATTTTTGCTACGTATTAATTATTAATTATACATGGTGATTCTTTGTTTTTTTTTTCTCCTTAAAATTTTTTCTTTCAAACTAAGCTAATTTAAATTTAGCATATACCAATTTTTTAATTTAAGCTACGTAGTAATAATAATTTAACTAAATAAGCATTAATTAATTAACTTATCATTATATCTTTCAAGAAATCTAAAGAGTCTTGCGAACTAGATATACATAGTATGAGCTAATTTTTTTGATTTGGTGATTATTAATAAATTTAATCTAATTATTTAAGATCATGTAATTAGCAGAAGTAAAATATAAAAATATAACAAAATTGAATTATATGATCTGAATTTGATTAGTTAATTGCTTTTCTTAGCTTTTCTTCATTATAAATTGCTTATAAAACCTTTATAAAACCACTTATAAGTTGTATTGATTTTTCTACTGATTATTATTAATTTTTTATAATTACCAAATTCTCATCCAAAATCCTAGCATGTATGTACGTACGTGACCCAATTTTTTCATGATTTTAAAATAGCTAATCATATGAAGGCTTTATTTTATTTTTTTATTCGAGTTACTCAGTTAGAATAACCATGACTCAGGCTTAATCTCTACATGAAACATTAAAGTTTGCAAACTTACAACTTAGATCTAGAATTGATTGAGGATTGTTCGAAGATGTTAGAAGTTTGTAACAGCCTTTATTAAAATAGTTATCTGTTTATATCTTACTGAATTGACTTTTATTTCTAAGTTAATGACTTACTATCTGAAATATGCAACCAAAATGAATTAATACCTCAAGTTTGTATTAAAGTTCCGATATAGCATCGTCTTATCGTGATTCATACCTTATGTAATTTTTCTATAAAATATATATAATTCAGAGTAATCTTAATTTTTCACTTTACAAAGTTATTAAGGTTCGAATAAATTCTACACTGTTCAAAGAAAGTGTATAAAGCTTGCTGGTAACAGTAAAATGAAAAAATGATAATAAATTAGCCAATCAAAAATGATTCATAATAAGATATAATCGACGCTTTATCTGAGGTATGATCGACATATTTTCTAAAGTAAATCAATAGCTAATCAAAATGAACTTCTGCTATGCTGACTACATATAGATTTGATCTACATATTGTTACATATAGTGTGGGAAATTACTTTTGGTATACGGTATGTGAGAATAATTTATTTTTCATTAATAGTTGATCGACATGTCACATATAAAAATTTTTCATATGATTTTAACAAGTTACACAAATTAACGAATTTATATTTTTTAAGTTTTCACCTAAAGTCTTAGTTAGAATACCTAACCTTTTTTTAAGCAAAGTTAATGCTGAGGTTTTTACGAATACAACAGTATAAGAAACATAAAAAAATTATTATTTCTTTATAATATACAACGCCTTTAAAGATGGCAACCATTTTGTCTTCTTTTCTAAGATTCTTTTTCAGTTTTCAAGCCCTTAACACAAAAAAGGTCTCATTAGATGTGCATTTAAGAGATCTTTCAGCAAAATACATGTTCGAAAGAGGGTTGTATTATAAAAGTGCAGAGAAAATCAAGAAAATCATTTTTATAGTATATAGATTCCTTTAAGGTAAAATATTTTATTGAATTTATTTATTTTTGTTATTTTATTACTAACAACACATATACTGTAAGGCCGTTTGAATTTAAAGATTCATTTACGTTTCTTTTTTTGAATTCTGATTCGAGGGGAGGGAGGTGATAGGGAATTTTAAACAAACATTAAATTAGCTTGTTTAATTTAGAGGAGAGCAGCTACTTGAGAGGAGGGGAGGGGTGTAGAATTTTAAACAAACATTAAATTGGCTTGTTTAATTTAGGGGGGAATAGCTACTTGAGAGGAGGGGAGAGAACGTTAAATAAATTTTCAAATTCAAACAGCCTAAATTTACAATTAACCAAAAAAAAAAAAATTATTTTGATCTCTTATATCGGTTATACCACTGATCTCTAATTCATTTTGGTGTCCAATAACCAGTATAATGTAATAATTCTGTCACTAACTTATTGACAATTTCTTTAAGTAATATAGTAGAATCCTTATATATTTCAAGCTGTGTCAGAATATTTTCTTCAGTGGGTGTGGATTTGTGTACTGTATATGATGTTCGAGATGTAGAGCCAGAAGACGGATTTATTGTGGGTAATGATACTGGTAGCAAACCTTCATTTATTTCTTCAATTTCCATGTTATATAATTCTAGAATTTGCACAGAATCACTACTTATTACATTTATATTTACTGTCTGGTCATCTTTATTACGTTTTCTTTTTGTTATACTCATAAGTATTAGATCTCTTTTATCTCGTCCAGCTTTCACTTGAGTAGAAGTACAATAGATATCTTGTTCAACAATCATATTTATTTTATTAATTCCTAATTGGTAAGACCTATATATTTATTGATAGCCAATATCTGTTAATTGTATAGTTTCTGCAAATAAAGTGTGTGATTCTGGCTGTGAACTGCTAAATCTGGATTTAAGCTCTTCAATTAATATTCAAAGGGCTTCTCAACGATCTTTAACAGACTGTGGACTTTTACCTACTAATTGATTATCAGTGAATTCTGAAATTAAAAAGTTAAGTTATTCATGTTCTGTTTGTGCTGCTTTGATATTTTGTTTTAAATTTTCTAAATTAGTTGTTTGTCTAGTCATATTTTCTTTTATGAATTTAATACCAAATGTTTCTAAAGCTTCATCAAAAGCAAAATAATATCCTTCTTGTGTCATATTAATTGAAAATACACTTTGAAGATTCTGAAGAAATTGTGGCTTGCTTTGAAGATCTGTTAAAAATTGTGCTACAGTTGCAGCATATCTTCTTTTTCCTGTTATAGGAAATACAGGAGTGAATGCCATCAAGCTATGCATTTGCAAATCAAAGTTTGCCATGCGAATGCCAAGCTTATGTAATTTTAAATATCCTGCCCATTGATAAAAATTATACCATACTTTTATTATATTATTGTTTTCAATTGGAATATCTTTAACAAAAATATTTTTTTCTTGAGAATATAGGTGAATCGCAATTCCAACTGCAACCCAAATATGCTCAAGTACTCGAAATGTTGCTTGATAATCAGCAACTTGCTTGAATTTATCAAGAAATTTGGTGTCAAGCTGCGCAGCAAGTCCAAAAAGTCCATAGTTTGAAAAAGCAGAAATTAGTGCACTACACATCACCTTGTTTGTATGCCATTGTCTAAGAATACAATATACTTCTTGTTCTTCATTTTTGTAGTCTTTCATTTGATGATATATTGCTTCATCACATACTAAATTTAATATACTATCTTCTGTATATCCAAAATCATCCAGAAACATATCAACAGCTTAGTGAACATAGTCATTTTTACTTGATGCTTCTCCTGGTTTAAGAATCACGATGTTTGGAGGTGCTACAAATAGTGCTGAATTAATTTCTCTTCTAATAGCTGCATCAATATGTTTGATACCAAAATTTGACTCTTGGTTAATTAATTGACTAAAGATTTTATCTATTTTTATTTGCCATTTTTCCATTGTTAAGCTTATACCAAAAACATTTTGAATTTCTAACAATTCTCTAGGTAAATTAGCAGTTTCTAAACACTGAAACTAAAAGACTATTTATAGTATTGCATATGCAGTAGCATAGGTTACATTATAAATGTTACCATATTTGAAGATCTTATCTTTCATATCAATGTTATCTATAACAGCATAGTTCAAAATATTTGGATTTATATTGAGTCTTGATTTGGGATCTGCAGCTAACATTTTTTTATTTCGAAAACATGTTTCATGATGACTAATATATGCTAGTACTTGGACTGCATGAAGGACTTTATACAATGATCTTATCATTTTTGGTTATTAACAAAGAGAAGAAAACACATGTGTAAACCAAATTTTCCACTGTGGAAAAGCAATAGTTAGTATTACTGATGCAAAAAAAAGAGTGACTAATTTTACTTGTTTTTTATCTAATTGTGGTGGTGATAAGTTACGTTCTTTTCTTTTTCTTGCTAAAACTTGATTTTTTTTTCTTTTAGAGTTGTAATCAAGCCAGAAAAGAAATTTATAACAGGTGATAGTATTGCATTATAATATTTATTTAGTGATTCTGGTTCTTCAAGTGACGATATTTTTTGTTTAAGCTTAGGTCGTTCTTGTAATATAGAGTGAGCTAGTATTTTGCTGAAGTTTAAACATGTAGTAAGTTTTAGTTGTATTGCTTGTGTTTCTTCATTAATTTTAATTTTTTTTAGTTCAAATAATGTTTTAATTAAGAGAAAACCAGGAACTACAGAATCTGCATAAACAGTAGAAGGCATAGAATTTTGCGACTCAGAAGTATTTGTGGTAATATTATTAAAAAGATTAATAAGTTCTTCTAATAATTTAGCCTTTCTAATATCATTGTTTGATTCGGCAATTTGGTCAATCTACCTACTAAATAATTTCAATGTAAGTATAATATCAGCATTATGTTTTCCTTTGTCTAGACATGATTAAAAATTTTTTCTTTGCTGAATATGCAGATGACCTCTATTTATTACGAAACAATCAGTGCAAATAAAATAAGGCTCATTATTATCTAATGATTCAGTTGGTAGTATCTCATATTTATTAATTGCTGAGCAGTCTAGTAACCCATAGCATGGTGCTTGAACAATTCGATTATAAACTTTTCACATATATAATGAGCATGTTTTACGTCTTGTAAAAAACTTTTTAAATTTATTGCAAAATAAGCAGCGACGTATTTTAACCATACTTTCATTAATTGATATATCTGCTTTTACACTATTATGTAAAACCTTCTGGTCATAGTTGTGATGATGCCTACAAATGCCTAGCTTTATCCCCTCATTTTCAGCATCCTTTACGGCTTGAAGGTCAATCTCCCATGTGCCACATAGTTGGTTTACACTTCAAACACTTTCTTTATTACATCTTTGAATTATGTTTGGATCATCATCATTGTCAATAATAACACAATTTGTAAATTTTTTAGTAGAATAAGAAAGGATAGATTTATCAGATTCCTCTTCGCTTTCATTATCGAAAAATTCATCTTCTATTTTCTCAGTAAATCCAGTGATTATTTCTTGTATTTTTTCAAATGAACTCCAGTCAAATAGAAGAACATCGTCATCTTGCTCAACACCAGTATTTGATTCTTGGTTAAAGTTGCAAATTTCTTCAAGATCGAATGATGTTTCATGTGAGAATTCCATTATTATTTATTAAATAAAATTTTTTTTTAAAAGTTTCAATTAACTAAGAGATGTATTGTATATTTGATTATAATAGCGAATGGCTTTATGATTAAAATAATTAGCAGGTAAATAGGCCACTATTTATAAGAAATTTGGCGAATCCAGTTGATTAAGAGAAATTTCTAATACATGGTCTGTAAAATTCTAGAATATAATTGCTAAAAATTGTGTTTGAAAATCTCTTAATTCTGAAATACTAATCCTTTGTTTTTGAAATATTTGAGACCTCTGAAATCCGAAACCTCCGAAATCTGAACCTTTTTGCTGATACCTTCAAAATGAAGCTCTTTGCCAATATCCTCGAAACAAAATACTTTTACTAGACAAATAATTTTTTTTTCTTTTTTTAGTTTAGTGTATATTTTACTTTATATATTTTTCTTATTTAGGTAAAATCTGGGGAAACGATCGATGTGATACAATTGATTATAAGCTCTTCGAAAAAGTTAGTAATCTTCAGATGACAAAAGAAACTTCAGGTAGAATTTGAAATTAACAAAGCTAGAAATTTTAATTTGCATGGACAACAGACATTTGTATTCATTTGTACTATAAACTGTCAATAAAAAAATTCAACTATTATTCGAAAGTATATAGTTGTTTTAAACACAATTTTATTTTTATATGAGAGCAAATAAATATTCCATTTTATATTATTAAAAAACAATACATCGACTACAAGTAACTTTTGATAAAAAAACTCTCGATATAAGAAATATTAATTGAAATTCGATAAAAAAAAGTTAAAGCCAAAACCAGTCTAATAAATTCACTCGATATAAGAAATTTACTTTGGTATAAGAAAGTCTTGTATAATTTTTACTATTGGCCTGCCTTTTTATATCGAGTTTACTTAAAAAGTTACAATGTTAAAAGTAGTACCTGTTTATTTATAAAGAGCAGTGAAATTCAGAGATCTATGCTAGCACTATATATAATAAAGTGAAACGAAAGGCTATTTTCGAAGACGAGATTCTTTTCAAGGTTACTTTCTATCTCAACTTGAACTTGCTCACAATTAAGTATTTGTATTTATGAACCGCACTACATTGTGAGTACAGAATCCTTTTAAAGTACCCCTGAAAACAGAATTTAAAAAAAGGGCCTACCGTTGCAATTTACTATGAAAATGTGATTTTTCATATAGATGTAGATCACTCAAATTTCATAATAAAATTTTTACACCCCCGATTTGCGTGACATGTCGATCAACTGTTAAGTAATTCCCATTGTGTCAATAAATCAACTTTTAAAAAAAAAACTCAGATTAGTTAGATTAGTTGTTGTTTACTTAAAATCAAAAATTCAACTTATTGGATTTTTAACTTTTGCTAGAAAGCACGAATCATGCTTAACGTTGATACATACTTCAATGACTTAACTTCTTGCTCGCTATTTGGCTTCCTAGAGCACAAGCGTCCAACAGAAAAAAGCAAAGCAAATGGTGTATACAAAGGAACACTTACTTCTATTGCTAGAGACGATACCACCAAGCCGGAAAGAAGGACGCTTGCGCAAGATTGTCTAAACGTTTTTGAGGTAAAGTTTTATACCTTTTCTTTGTTAGTTTTTTTTATCGTGTACCATTGTCCTATCCCATCCTCTTTCGACCTCTGTGTCGCCGAGGGAACTATCTGTTCGACCTCTGTGTCAGTGGGGGAATTGCCTCAGTGCTGGTGTGGATTTCACGCTACCTCCTAACCTCTGTGTTGTGGAGTTATGACCTCCGTGTCGTGTGTGTCCCTTTGGTGCAGCGATTTAGAGATTAATACTTTATTATTCGTCAAAATAGGAACAAACTAATTCAGTTTCAGTAGAACAATACTGGATGGATCTGGCAAAGTATAAACTAGAGAACGAGGTTTATCTCGAAGAGGTTTGTATGATAATTTTTGAAGCCTTTACTATACTTCGATCTACAAACTGAAAAGTCTATTTTAGTCTCAACATGTTCTGGACGCGACAAAGGATACACGAGAACAAGGTCGTTTGCTACGAAAAGCTATTACCAAAAGGTTTGAAAAATGGAGTGTCATAGAAGTCGAAGAAGAGGTGAAACCAGTTAATTACACAATCACTGACTTCAAGCCTAGTTGCAATGAACCGGAGGAGAATTAAGAATTTTATTTCTTTTTTGTACTTAGTCCGATGATGATTTAATGCCAGTTCCTAAACTAAAGCGAAAAAAGCTATCTCACCCGAAAAAGGTTAGGATATTGATAAGACATTATGTTGCCTACAGTACAATAATTTTTAATGACGTGAATTCTTCTCAAAATTTTTTTGGTGTAAACAGGCCAAACATACGAAAGACACGCTATCATCTTCACCAAAAGTACCAAATCCATCACCATCACCAGTAATACCCAAACTATCATCATCAGGAGTACCAAATTTATCATCATCACCAGTAATACCAAACCCAAGTTTGTTACAAATACCAAACCCAAGTTTGTTACACGAACAGGTCGAAATTACTAACACGAATACGGATGACGATGACGGTAATTTCATTATTAGTAATAAGAGCACAATTCCAAGATCACATTGGAAAGATACGTCATTATCAAGTTTACAATCCTTAGAAAGTGCGGGTTCTAGCAGAGAAGATACGGATGAAGTTAATAATCCCAGGTTTAACAGACCACATACTCCATCAAATCAAATTTACTCTACATCGGAGAATCAAAATTTATTTATACGATTAAGAAATGAGAAACAGAGAGCAAAATCCACAATGTAGGTAAAGCGTGTTCGTTAAAGTGAACGTATTATATTATTAATTAATCTTGGCCTAGGGAGCCCATTTGCTCGAACATAGTTGACACTACAAATAAAAATTTAATGGAAAGACTGCAATACCAGTATGATCACCGTTGGGAACCTGTCACAAATGATGCAACCAAATATATCGATGAACTAATTGAAAATGTGGGTTTTTAAGGATTTATCACTAGTAATTTCTTTCTCTCATAATCTCACCACTTCTTTACTATATTTCAAAGCGATACCCGCAATGACTTCCGGAGTAAACTTCTACTTCCATTCATCCCATCTGGTGAAACTTATTCCTTCAGTAAACATTATGAGGCGCATTGGGTACACCGGTTTGCTGACAAATTGTGAGTTAAATATCTTATTTAATTAGTTCTCATTTCTTTTGCTTTATTATATTAAGACTGGCTCAATAAATTGGTTTTATTATTAGATCATTATTTTTCGAAGCTCCTCGGAATCCACTTCTAGATAAGAATTCTGAAGGGTGGTTAAATTGTCATATTTTTGCTCCTCTAATTGACGATTGTTTTTTGATATGTGAAGAAGTCCATGTACATCGGTAAGATTATAAATTATTTAATATTTAAATTAACTTAGTGTTTCTTAAATTCTTTTTTTATTATTTCAGCTGTGAAGAAATGTCCTTGGCGTCAATAATGCGCAAAAATTTAACTAGGGAAGAATCTGAAAAAAAATCCTCTGGACATAAAATAGATATAAGTTTTAGCGTTGATGATATAGAATATTTTAGTGCAGAAACATATGTAGATGAGGACCCGCAAAATTCAAAACCAATCTCATATAAACACAAATTATTTAGGGAAATGAAGGATCAGCTGGACAGACTTCTAAAAAAGTTGGAATTTACAAAAGAATCGATCAAAGAGGTAAAAAATATCTTCGTACATGGAATGTCGCATGGAGGTAAATATTAGAAATAATAAAAAAAATTTATTATATTAGTTATTGCACAATTGATTGAAATAATTTATCATTCAATAGGCCTCAATGGCAAGATATATGCTATGTATTACAATATCGACCTTGAATATTATTTTGTATATGAAATGTGCAGATATCGAATAGGAACAACATGGTCAAGTGTCCCAGATAGTCTTATGACCTTAAAAAAGATACTTTGTTTGATGTCTTTATATATCTCATTAAATGTCCATCTAGCAACTTTAGTTTTTTCTAACTATTTCTGACAATATAGTACAATATAAACAAAGTTCTCGGCGTTATTAAAAAAGTAAAGAAGGTTCGCTTATATTCAAATCCGGAAGATTTATTTTCAATTAATAACCTTCCAGATACAACACCATCTCCGAAAAAAAAACAAAATAAATGATTTTATAGGTTTGTGAATTATACTTGTTACCCGAAACCTTTTTTCCAAAATCCGAAAGTTTCGGGTTTCGGATTATACTTTCCGAAACCTCT